GTACCACATGAGGTGCGAATGACAATAAAGAAACTCTGACTCTGACTCTGACTATCCGTCCGTCGGTTCAAACTGTCTTATACTGCCATCCGGTGGTCAAAAAAGGTAATACATGCAAAACAAATTAAACATTTCTTTTTAAATTTGACAATTATTAATTATTGTCAAATTTCAAACAATATTATCGTTTATCGCAATAATTTCTTAGACAATTAATCGCCCAGCATAATTAATTATCGTGACAGGCCTACTTGTATCTGTATTCTGCTGGAGGACATGGAGGTTAATTTAGACCTCAAACTCATGGGTCCTGATTCAGTGTGAGGATTTGGATCAGGAACCAGCCAGCTCTTCATGTTAGTATCGATAAAGTCCGACCCAATCGTTAGTATCATATGTTGCTGTAGATTCTATCATCCAGGACACGGCATATTAAAAAGCATAAAAAGACGAAGTAACTGGACGTTTGTTCTGTTGCTGAAGATGTGCAGAGTTTTGACATTTTAACTGCACAAGGTTAAAATTGTTAGTGTTTAGATGGATCCACATCCTCCTCCCTCACTGACATAAAAGTCTGATGAAATGCGTCATGAACAGTTCAGACTGCAGTCACCTTGAAAAACATCTGATACAGTACCACAAGTGAAAACATTCAGATTAGTGCCACATTTTCCTGCAGTGTGAACTTAACCCGAGCCTTTAAAGAAAAGATGGATTTGTAAGCACTCCTAGTGTGCACTCCTTTCTCCCAGTCTCACCTGTGGGGCTGCTGAGACCTTTCCCTTGCTGCCTCCTCTTGGCGTCACTCAGGATGTCGATGATGAGCGTAGCAAACTCACGGGCGTTGAAACGGGCCAGCTTCTGACGACCCTGAGAGGAGAATGAGTCTGAGCTGAGTCATTTTTAAACACAGGCGCTCTGCGTGGCTGCCTAAAATTCACCCAGTATCAAAAGTCCTCTTTGTGAGCTACATGGACCACAGACTGAGCATAGCTCTGTGCCTGTGGGACTCCTGAGGTCAGACACCATGTGCTGCGGAAAAACACAGTCATACTCACGACGCACAAACCCTAACAACTGTGCTCACAAAGACACACAAAACCGTGCAATTAGGCCTCTGCATGGAAGAACGGAGCGGTCAGTTTACAGAAATATGCTTGAGAGGATTAAAAATAGTTGAACTCTTCATCGTAACGCAGCATACGTGGCGATCTGACGCGTGTGCGCAGCATTTACCTGGTTTCGTGTAGCCGAGTATTCAGGGTTGACGGGGAGGAATGGGACAGCACTTCGCTCTGTGACCAGAGTGCTGTGGTTCTGTGTCGTCAACCACACTGAAGACACAAACACAGTTTATACAAGGGTAAGGGTGTGTGCGTCTTTAAGCAGCGAGGTCACTGTAGCCGGAGCATGTGCAGCCGCCCACGTCAAACTCAGTCCATCCACCCACACATGCACGAAGACATAAACAAAGTTCAGCAAGACCAGAATTAAACTCACAGAGCTCAGAGATGAGTGCGCACGTACCTCTTACCTGCTGTGAGCCTGTCAGGGCGTTTTATTTCTAACCGTTACTGAAGAAAAGGGGGAAGAGGAGAAAAAGCCGAGGAGGAGGAGAGAGAAGAATTTGAGAAGCACTCTCCTCCTCCTCTCTAGCCCCTTTTTTCTCTTCAATCCATCCTATGAGTTTGAACTTTATCGCTTGTTGCTACGTTGTTTTCTGGCCAAGTTTCATTTCAGAGTTAAAGAAGGCAAGGTGAGATCAACTTTTTACATCAGAGGACAAAAGGAGAAAGAGGACAAGGCTAACCTGCGTCGTTTTCTCTGCGATCCACCTCGTCGTAGACGTCCATCGCCAACTCCTCAAACAACCGGTTGTTGAGCTGCAACACACAGACCACAGACAAATCAGAAGCAAACACACACACAGCCGGAGGGATTAGAAGAGGCACCTGCAGTTACCAGGACACAGATTTACATTTGACATATTTCAAGTTTCAGGCACTTATTTCAGATTTCTTTCTTTGTGATGATTTTACAGACATGGATTTGTCTCTTTTGAGCTTGAAACATGGATCAGAAAAAAACTTTGCTTCAGTCACATCCAGAACTTTATATGGTTATATACGATTATAAAAGTTTATATAGGTGTTATATGCAGAACCTTTTCTTTCAGGCCCTGTTCAGACCTGACACTTTATATCTGTCTTGGGTGATTCGGCTGCAAGTGGACAGCTCTGATATGGAACGTTCACATCTGGCAGGACAATGTGTACAGATGTTTCTATAAAGATTACAACACTTTCAGACATCTGAGCTAGTGTTATTTTAACAAACCTGGGTCAGAATCACTTGAGTAACATTTTTGTTTTATTATCTCTTATTTAAGCTGCATTACGTGACAGAAGGAATATGGAAGAAATGCATATTATAATCAGTGATGATGTCACAGAGCTCAGTACCAGAGAAAAGACCTGTAAAATCTTCAGCTGTGAAACGGTGCACTGACAGTCCTCAGGTTTATTGTGAACATAACGCAGCGCAGACTTCCTGTGATTGACAGCACACAGCTTACAGTGACCACAGAGGGTCCAGTCAGCTCCAAAACGAGAGGTACACCCATGTGTCCCATCTCTGAGCGGTTTGAGTAGAGAACGTTTGTGGTGTTGGAGATGAGTGTTTTTCTGAACTGAAGCTGAACAGAGAATGAAGTAAACAATGTTTTTGGTGCAACATATTCAAGTGGGTAGGAGTTACACTGTGGAGGAGAACAGAGGGAGGTTTTTTCTTGTTGTTTGAGGCAGCACAGAGAGATGAATGCTGTAGAGTGGAGCAAGCAATTTTATCCACCACCTGGTGTAATGGAGGAGCCAGGGGGTGGCCAGTGGTGGCCTTGACCACCATAGATAAGAGTTGCATTCGGGCCCAAAAAATCTGATCTGACCTGGTCCCAGCCCATAGCCATCATTTCCGAACCCCACCCGACCAGTTAACAGTAATTACAGGTCCGAACCCGAAAAAAACAACAACACGTTTTTAATTAAGCTTCGACTGCTTATAATTATTAACAGTCGGCGGACGCGTGCGGCGGAGGGGGCAGAAGATCAGAGGTGAGGGGGTGTTTGTCCTTTCATGGCCGTCAAAGTGCATTCAATCCCAAAATTGGGATCTCACCTGTTTCAGTCGTCGGCCGCGTGCGTTTGCTGAGTGCAGCGGCAGAATGAACGTCCATTTGGGCGATGGATCGTGTCCAGGCAGTAAAGTCCCATCTGAAGTTTAACTGAACTTTATTTGACCTCTATCAAGGCCGGTCAGCTCGCGGTGAAATGGCCGCGTGCAGCTGGTGATTGTATGGCAAGCCATGTTTTCATATAATTGGATTGTTGCCAAAAGCCTGACACCGACCCGGCCCGCCCATCCAGCACATTATCATGGCCCGGCTGGCCCCAAATTTGGGTCAGGCTGGGCCGGGCTTCGGGCCCGGGCCACAAATGACAGCTCTACCATAGATTAATATTCAGCCACCCCAATCACTGGAGGCAACTACACTTTTAAGAAATATAAAAACTAGAAAGCATAGTTTCCTCAAATAATCGAGGTAGTCTGTTTCCATGTATATATGGTGGTGGCCATCTTGGATTTTGACGTGGCAACACAATTTTCAATAGTGACCTTTCTTACACCTAGATGCAGCCGCACACCAAATGGACGTCAGTATCTTTTAAAGTTCGTCTTAAAACTCATTTATTCTACTTGGCTTTTAACACCAGCGGGATCTAGTTTTTTAAATTTTGTATGCTTTTAAAATGTATGTTTTTAACATCAGCAGGATCTAGTTTTAAATTGTATGTTTTATGTTTTTAAACTGTTTTTATTTTCATTTTTATTATGTTGTGTTTTAATGTACAGCACTTTGTGTCAGCTATGGTTGTTTTAAGGTGCTTTATAAATAAAGTTGGTATGGTATGGTATGGTATCTCGTCTATTTTTTCAAGTTATCCAACTCACAAAACGCCCGGGCAGACAGACGGTACTTCCGATTCCTCCCTCTTCGCACCACGACAGGGGACAACCAACAAACTACCTGTGATGAGAAACTCACTCTGCAGCACCAAAGTCCATGCTCAATAATCCAGGTAATAAATCCAACAATGTTCAGTCAGGTCGTCTGGACGGTTTTGTTTTTGTGCTGAGACGTTTTGTCCGTCATCCAACGAATTTCTTCAGTTCAAGGAACCACTAAACAAAACTGATTCTCCACCAACAACCTACTAAAAAAAACAGTTAAGTTGGTGTTAAGATGGCCTCTGGAGATCACTCTGAAGTGTTTTCAAAATCCACTCTGATTGATTAAATCCTGACAAAATGAACATTTTTATAAAGTGGAATTCTAATAATAAACAATTAATTTAATGTTTTACCAGAGTAAAAAAAAGTGTTCTCTTCAGGATGGCTGTTAAATTATTTGTAATGAGCCGTCAGCTGAAGAAACTTGCATCCAGCTCATATCTGGGCTCATGTCAGTTCAGAGGGACTGACTGTGTTCAGGCTACTAAATAAAACAGGGTCCAGACCACTTCAGAAGGCTGACTGAAGGATTCACATTCATGACGGTCACACCTGCATTTAGCACCACCCAAGAACCGCAAAGAACCAAGTCTGAACAGGGTGTCAGCAGTACTACTTAAAATTTAACTCACTGCTTGGAGCTTCTTCTTGGCAGCTTTAGCCAGTTCAGAGAGGTCCAGACTGAAAAAAAAAACAACAGAAAGAAAAACTGATGAAATGATCATAAGTAGACAGAACACAGACAGAGGCTGAGGTCAGAAAACAGAAAATAATGATAAAAGCAAAAAACATGAAGGAAGTTTGTTAAAAACTGGGAAGAGGAAGGTTCACTGTGGATGGGGCAGCTTTAAAACTGATCGCTGGAGTTAACGTTTCAGCTCAGCCTTTTATTTAATAACTTTCTCCTCACCAGTCTCTGTACACTGATGCTGACAAATACTTTTCTTCTTACAACATAAACTTGAAAAAACTATTATTGTGGTAAAGTGTGGAAACATACAAAGAACTAGGGAAGCAGAAAGAGGAGGTGAAATGCAGGAACAAGGAGAGTAAAGATACCTCTGTGTCGGGCACTTAGGACGAGCTCTGGCTCCACCGAGCGCAGCCAAAGGGAGAGAACAGAAAACGAGTGAGAGTAGGAAGAAACAGACAGAAGGAGGTGGAGGAGACGCCACATGAAAACAGCTTTACTTGGTTTTATTTAAAAGCAAACTCGTCAGAACAGAGCAGGAGCCAAGTGGAGTTCAATAAAACTCAAACAGATGCTGACGTGTCTCATCTACAGCTTAAAAATTGTACATTTAGATTATTTAACGTAAAAAACTGAACTCCACAGAGACACCTAGTGGTCAGAACACTAAACTACGTCACTATCAATTCAATTCATACAGTGAAAATGAAGCAGAACAGAAGTTTAGCAGGTTAGGCAGCTCCAAATACACTACACACAGCACTCATAAGAATATCTTTACTTGAACTAAATGAAGGAGATCCATACCTGTCTGCCATTTGAGGAATGATGTAATGTCCATTTTTGTGATCTACAAGACAAGATGGGGACTCTAAAAATTGTTTAAAAGTTACAACAGTGTGTCACTGAGGTTTAAAGAACAGTACAGTCATCTTGAAGTGGGTTTCAGTGTAAAAGTTACAAGCAGTACGCTGATGGGACGAGGGATTTAAATAGTGAATGTGTGTGGTTTTCCAATTGAGTATTTTTTTGGGATGGAAATGAACAGGAAGTACAAGTAAACCTTAATGTTTTTGGTGCAAGAACAGTGGAGCCGGGGGGCAATGGTGGCCTTGGCCCCAGTACACTAATCTTTGACTACACCAATCATTTGAGAAAACTATAGTTTTCAGCAACATAAAAGTTAGAGAGCTGTTCGCCCCAGAATCAGAAGCAGCTTTATTATCACTCTACCAAGATACAGTGAGATTATGTTCGTACAGTCGTCCGAAAGATGGGCAGAGCGCACGTTGCTGCTGCTCCTGAGAGTATAGCCCCTTATCCTTTTTCAGAACTTTATTAGATAGAAAAAGGGAAAATGCCATGAGGATATGATAGTGGTATTACAAAAAAGATCTCTTCACATCTTGTCCTATATCAGGACACGACCTGAGACATTAAAAATCTCTACCAGCAAGCACATTTATAAACACATTACATATGCATTTGATGGCAAGACGATGAGATTTGTCCATGAAACACTTCCAGATAGACCATAGTCCTGATAAGATCTTAGTGTCAACCGGTACAACTCTGGTAAACCTTGACACAAGTTCTCGTTGGGGGGGGGGGGGGGGGGGTAGACATAGCTTTCCTTAGTTTACACGTATCCCAGGAGAAATGTGATAAGTCAGCCTGCTTCGAGGCCGATTCAGATAAGCCACTGTTGTTGATTTTTTTTCAGGCAGACTGTTTATTTTTTCTTGTCAGCCTTGAGTCCTGCTGGTACTTACGATATCCAAAATGACCAGATATGCTGGCGAGCCCCAGAAGTCACAGGTGGCCTGCGATTCTCACAAATCGTTTCCATCTTACGGCTTAGCTCGTAAATCAGCTGAATTTTGAGTCCTCAAAGCACGAACCAAACCTTCACATAGACTCGGCAGTCTTGTCATGGCCGAAACTGCTGCCGCCGCCGTCTTCCTCGATACCTGATAACATAGAAATCCGCTGATGCCAAAAAACAGAAACCCTGCTATCATGATTCCAATTTTATAAACATCTTTGGCGTCCTCCTGAGACAATACGGAAAGACACATCAGCTTCCAAACTCCCCATGGGTCCATGATGCATCCTGACACGTGCGTCTCAGCGGGGCATGAGGGTTCTCCAGGACCCTGTCGCTTTGTTGAAAAGATTTTATCAATAGTTTCAATCATAGTTTCAGAAGATGTGTAAAATAGGAGCTCCGATACACAAGACGGAGAACAAAAAAAGCAGGAGGAGGACAGGAGAGCAGGAAGAGGAGGAAAAAGCATCTGCCTGGCACGAGAGCGAGTGAGGAAAAAACGCATTGCAATGGTAAAATAAAGGCGACGTCTTTAGGTGTAAAATGTAATAAACATATTTTTTAAGTAATTAGTAGTTTTCCTGCCTCACAAACAACCATTTTTAACAGAATAAGTTTCTTTCAGCTGCTCCATTCTTCAGGGGTTGACACAGCAAATTCGCATGAAAATTTGCCAATTTGTTTTACACCGGATGCCCTTCCTGACACAACCTGGGCTCAAACCCACAACTTCAGGATTAAAAGACCACTGACAATGAACGCCAAGCTACCGCAGACTCTAACTGTTAAAAGAATAAAGAAATAAGACATTAAAGTCAATGTGTGCAAATCATCTGAGATCTTTACTTAATTATATTTTACACAGAAAGCCACTTCAAAATGTTCAAACGATGCAGGGCATTACATGTAATGTGTAGTCTGACTCGGATGTAGTTACCTGGACGCCGGCCACACAGGTAGAAGGCTAACCTGTCTGTCAGCTCATACTGACACTCCACCAGTCGCTCTGCTAGATCTATATGACCCGCCTGCCTGAAGAACAAACACATCCTTCAGGTTTTCAGCTCTACTGTTGCTGTTTCTTAACATTACTGGCCAATCTGAGATCAGACGTACCTCGCATTGTCCATCGGTGTCCGTCCATTGATGTCCGGCGCTCCAGGGTCAGCGCCATACACGACCAGTAGCTCAGCTTGCAGGATCTGGCCCGCCTTGGCCGCCACGTGGAGTGGTGTCGTGCCCTTCTCCTGAATCACGAGGAAGCATAAAAACATTCCCAACAACAGGCCTTGAATACAGAGAACTGAGGAGCTCTGTTCCTTGTTAGATGGAACGAGAAACTTTTTTTTTTCTGACCGGGTGAAAGAAGTTGGCCTGAGCACCGAGGGACAAGAGCCTAAGACACGTCTCCAAGCTGCCTGTCCGAACACTCGAATGAAGTTGCTAACAGAAAAAAAGCAGAAAGCACAAAGGGAATTAGGACAAACAGAAACAAACTTCACAGCATCAGCGAAGTCTGACAGACGATTATCGAAATATTCAAAACTCATTCTTCTAACATCTTACTTGTAAAATAAGCTCAGTGATATTTAAACGCCCTGATCTTTCTTAAAACAAATTACAGTTATAATAAAACAGGCCTAAAGTGCAGACTCAGCTTTACTTTCAGCAAGGAAATGAAATGGGACATCCTTAGCAAAGAAGTAGTAAACCAGAGATAATTAGAATGTCAGGGGTGGGAAAACAAACAGTTTGGTACTTTTTGAATAAACAAGTGGTACGCCCATGCCCCCCTGCACTGAGGGGTTTGAATAGTGACTGTCTGTAGTTTTTGCTGCAAGATATGCAAGTGGGTCAGAGTTACACCATGTAGAACAAAGGTAGGTCTTTTTTCTTTGCTGTCCCAGGCAGCGCAGAGTGACAGATCCTGACGAATGGAGGGAGCAATTTTATCCGCCAACAGATGAAATGGTGGAGCCAGGGGGTGGCCAAAGGTGGCCTTGGCCCCCATAGATCAATCTGCAGCCACCCCAGTCCTTTGAGGAAACAATATTTTTAACCAATATGAAAACTACTTTCCTCAACTGGTAGATGTGGTCATTTAATCTAGTTTGTTCCATTTGAGGCAGCTGGCTAAAGTGAAGCTGATTCTTTCTCAGCAGCATTTTGAAACAGTGGTTCACGTCTTTGTGACCACTCGGACTACTGTAACGCACTCTATACAGAAATCAGTGACTCGTGTATCCGTCAGCTTCAGAGGGTACAGAACGCTGCTGCACGTCTTTTAAACGAAAGTTTGACCACATTTCTCCTGTTTTAGCCTCCCTGCACTGGCTGCCTGTACATTTTAGGATTAATTTTTAAATTATTTTATTTGCTTTTAACCTCCTAGGACCTGGCATCCACATATGCACGAGTCCGAGTCTTAGGAGGTTAAAGCTCGTTATGGACTTGCCCCGCCCTATCTGTCCGACATGTGATCAGCTGCTCCCGAGTGTGACGAAGACGAGGCGTAAGTTCAGAGGAGACCGTGCTTTAGCTGTGGCAGCTCCTAAACTGTGGAACAACCTTCCCTTGAACATCAGACAGACCTCTTCCCTGTCCGTTTTTAAATCCCTTCTTAAAACCCATCTCTTCTCACTGGCTTTGACACCATCTGAGATGTTGACTTTTAATCATCTTAATAATTTTTATTATCTGACTGTTTGATTCTTTTATTATGTGTACAGCACTTTGGTCATGTGTGTTTAAAGTGCACTATAAATAAAGCTGGCATGGTATTTACATAGATATATGGCAGCAGCCATCATGGATTTTGATGTGACAACCCAATTTTAAAAAGAAATCCTTCCATACGCCTAGATGCAGCCACACATCAAAATGGAAATAATTCACTTGTTTTTCAAGGTATCTTGCTCACAACATGCACGGATAGATGGACGGATGGAGGGTAGTTCCACCTCCCCCTCTTTGCGCTGCAACAGGGGATGAAATGAGAAACTTTACGTTCTGCAACATAAAATAAGACCTTCCACAAGAACTAATGAAGATGGAGGATCTCGGGATCCTTTCTGTATTAAAACCCTTCATCTGATGCTGCAAAGTTAAAACAGAAGAGCAGAGTTCCTCACATGGTGAGAACAGATTTCTCTCTCTGTCACACAGCTGGGAGGAGGTGCCTGAGCTCACACCAAGGGTTTGATTTGTTGCCAACTGTGACGCTGGTTTTTATAACCAAACGTTTGTCTATTCAAAGATTATTGCTCCAAAGGTCTGATTGGTTTAACGCTGCATGTTCTACATCAACCACTTCAAACAGATCATATTTGTTCAATCTTTTTTTTGTTTGTTTGTACAGACATAAACTTTAACATTGAACCCAACTGAGACGTGGAGCATCTGAAACAACTTGTCATTTCTCTGATCTTTATTCTGTCTGACCTCCAGGTGGGACGTCCACTCCTGGGAACTTTACCATTTGTGAACGTTCTCTTTCAGGATATTTTTTGGACTCCGATGAGTTTGCGAACGGTTTTATAACCAAACCCTTGGTGTTTTTTTCATTGCGGTGTTTAGATAAACACCTGAATACTCCAGAGCAGTGAGCAGACAAAACATTTTCTTTTAAGCGGGTTCTTAAACTTCCTCGTGATCAGCACCTGACTGCTGAAGTTGCAGCAGCACTTTTAAATTTAATTAAATTATTAGCAAGTGTATTATTTTAAGTGCTGCTAAAAAGACTTGCATTAAATAATGTTACACCATGTCTTAATAAGTCAAACTTCAGGAATATATAAGAGTGTAGTGACTGTTCATTGTTTGCTCTGATTCACCTAACTGCAGAACTCTTAATGCTGGAACTCCTGAGCCATTCCTCCAGTGTGGATGTAAATACCCGATACTCAAAATGAAGCTCAGCCTTGGTACATTACCATATTTTCCGCCGTATAAGTCACACCTTTTTGCATACATTTGCAAGTCCTACGACTTATACACCGAAGTGAATAATATATGTTTTTTCCCCATATTTATTATCCAACTTTTGGCTGAGATCTGACGATTTCATTCATTCTGACATAGAAAATACTTAACACTACTATTTTCAGCCACTAGAGGGTGCTCAAGTAATATGGCAAGCCAAGTGACTCATTAATAGGTAAAAGTAGGTATTAATGAGACACTTTACTTGCCATACCAAGCCACCTTCGTCTTGCTCCAGAACTCCCGGAGCAACCGTCAAATCAGCTTAATTTCGCCTGATTTGACCATTAAAGTGCATTTATTAAGGAAAAGTTAAACTGAGACACACCTTTGCTATAATGTTGAAAAAACAAATAATTGTTTTTAAGTATGGATGGGGCCGATCCGATCCAGTATCGGTATCGGGCTCCGATACCAGCATAATTTACGTATCGGATTTTCCGATCCAACCTGCCGATATTTCCGATCCATGATTCATGTCTGTGGTTGCGCTACACGTTGGCTTCAAACTATGGAATGGATTTCCTGAACGGAGGCGTGTCTCATGAACCCAGAGTAAAAAGACCCGCCTCACATTCAGGAAATCCATTTCATAGTTTGCAGCCAGCTACAACGTGAGGACTGAGTTAGCAGCACTGTGGCTAACAGCTAACCAACTTTTCATCTAAACATGTCCGCTGTGTGGAAGTATTTTACACTAGAAACACCACAAAACAAGACAGCAACGTGCAATGTCTGCAGAGCCATAGCACCACATTAAACCGCGTTAAAGTTAGTTTTATGTTGGACATTCGAGCTCCGGGGCGTCAGCGGTCTGTTATTTTCGTTCAGTCCGGAGAAGGCTGTTTGATTTTGGTCAGCCACGCTCAGTCTGACCCGCTCAGTCTGTTTGTCTCTGAGGAGGGACAGACTGAGTGCGGCTGACCGAGATCAGACTGCTTGCTGCGGATTGAACAAGAAGAAGACATCGCTGAAGCCCCGGAGCTCGAATGTTTACAGAGAAGTTGCTAAACTTCATCATAATTAATGACCAACCACTATCAGTTGTAGAAAACGAAGGATTTCTCAGCTTGATACTTGCATCCAAGATATAGTTTACCCTGCAGGAGATATTTATCAGTACAACAGTAGACAATCATAAAAAAAAACATATGATTTGAAAATTACAAGAA